ACTAAGCAAAGCTCCTAAGTCTCCTGGTCTTATTAGCATGGCTTTGTGTAGTAGGTGTCCAGTGGCACAGTCCAGAGAGGGGTTCAACTGCAGGCTGAGTATAGGCATGACTTGTATCCCTCCGGGGCCACCTGTTAAGATTCAGCAAGCAATCCACAGATGCTGTGCTTATAGTTGCTTCAAAAGGCCACACCAGAAACTGAGGCCATCTGCCACCAGAGTGGGTCTTGGGATTGGCTCAGTAAGGAGCACCCAACTCACTGAAAATACAACTGGATGTGGCCTGGGAGTGGCCATGATTTGAGGGAGGCAGAGTTTCAGGGAATCCTCTGGGCAGAGCGACCTCTGTTATCCAGTTTGATAATGTCTCTGCTAGCTATGGCTGCACTGTGTCCCCATACTGGGAGTGGGGAGGAACAATGGGTACTGCCAGCACTTCTGCCCCGGAGAGAACGTTGCCTCCAGCCTTCACTCCATCAACTCAGTGACCACCGTAAGTCCCTGGTGCCTCCCAAGCAGCCCTTTAAGGGGCGTCTGCACCCACTGGCTGCCACTGCAGCAGCCTCTGTCCCACTCAGCCACTCAGACTGGGCAGCCTTGTGTCTTCGTCCCTTCCTACCTCCAACTGTTGCAAGGTGATTTCTAATTTCTCTCCCTAGTTGCAGTGCTTTTGTTCATCTAGATACCAGGTGATTTTGCTTGCTGTTTGCTCTGTGTTTCCATTCCAACTTTGATGTGGTTGTAAGAGGGGTGAACAAAGCCTCTATCATCTATGTCATTTTTAGATCCTTCCCCCTGTCCTGCCATTTTTGATTCTTGATAGAAATACATATGTGAAGCTTTTGATGGCCACCTAATTGTAGCTGGCTATTTAAAATACATATCTACTTAAAACTTGGATTGTTAGAACTTTGATATGGTGTTTATTGACTAGAAAAAGAGAGCGTATTTTAAGTCCCTTGACAAATGTATGCTATAGCCAGCTTGTCCCAATTTATGAGAGGCTTAAATACTCAGGAAGTTTGCAATATTTGGTAGCTTGAAATGGGAGAAAAAAACCCCGGAAATCAGCAAATGCTACAAATCAGAGCTTTTTTCTTTTTCTTTTTTTGAGAATTAGTTTACTTGTGTATCCATTGGCCTTATAAACTTATGTTCTTGTTTTTGACAGTTGAAATATTGGATGATGCTAGAATTCAGATACTTCAGTCATTTACTGTAGCTGAAGCAGAAGTAAGTCCTTCTTTTTTTATTAATTGACAAAAACCTTAATGACAGTAGTTTCTTTCATATGTCAATTTTTCTTTCAGGGTTATGCTTTTAAAAAGGCAGTGTTAGCAATTTACGTCTGTGGGAATGTGGCTTTTCTCATCCTGTTCTTATCCAATATCAACCATCTATGAGCAAGCAAAAACCTTGCTGTTACAGACCAGGTAATAATTATCATCAAGGCAAAGAAACTTGAAGCTGTACTGACTGCATGAATTCATATTCATGAATTCCAATTTGGAAGACCAGGTCATGTCCATAGAGGAATTATGAAGTGTGGTCTTAAGAGAGCAATATTCAACAGGGTCCTATGGACTATAATGTGATGTCAAACCTTTATGTGCAATTCTGAGTCTTATGGAGAGGGTAGTACTTCCTGGAAGAGAAGTGACTCTGTTATGTCTACGCTGAGATTTTTAAGAATGTTAGCATTTAAGAAAATAAACAAGAGCCATTTGGAAAATAAAGGATGTCATTAGGATTAAAAGATTAAAGTAAATATATTTTGAGCTATAAAGGTGTTATGGTACTTTAAAGAAAACATTTTTACTGGTTTATATCAATGGTGTTTCTTAGAACTTTTTGAGAAACTATGGTTTTTGGTCCAGTTTTTGGAATATATCTCTTACTTTATGTATTTTGTTACTTCTTTGGTAAAAGTAGAAATGTGGCTGACCCTATTGTAGGTTTCGTTAACGTTTAAATATATTATGAATTATATAATTTCCATGAAATGAAAGTGTGCATCTTCTGCTTAAAAACTGCCTTTATAAATTCATCAACAAAGCTAAAATAGCATTTTATATGTTAATTATTTTGACAATAAGATTTAAGTCCTATAGCCTTTGGAGATTGTAAACTTGCACTTCAAAAATAAAGCTCACCCTTGTGAACATGTCTAAGTTATTCTCTTTCCTTGGGGTAATAAAATAATATAGGTGGTTCTGTTCTGCTAGTTGTTCCCATGCTCTAATGAATCAGAGTAAATGGTGTTATTTTCCCTCCTATTCTATTAATTTATCTCCTATTTGCTATGAGGACTTCTAGCCAGTGGGTGGCGCCATAATACCAAAGTACTGCTTTGTTCTGTGTCCTCTTGCTGTGATTCATTTTTAGCAGTACTTAGGTAATCATGGGATGCTATTTTCCTTAAAATCCACCAACTCTCAATCTTTATTTGAAAAAATTCTGCCTTTTTGGGGGATAAGGGTGGGTGTGCCGAGATTATTTGTAACAATTGTTTGGTATTTCCCTTTTTATTCCTCTGACCTTGTAACAAATGAACAGAATAATCTAAGGCAAAGGAAACAAGCAGAACTGGACATTCTTTAAATAAAAAGGTTTGGGGAGGCATATTTGATTTCTTTAGGTGTTCGGTCTGATTACATTATAGTTTCTGTTTGGCCCAACGACCTAATTTCTACCTGATGTAAATAATAGCCTCGGCCATGTATCTTACATTTTTTACTGGGTATGTGACATGGAAGTTTGTTTTTCTTTTTTATATTGGTGTTTATCTTAAGTAGCTTAGGGTTGATATGTGAATTTTCTGTTTTCATGTTTTATAAGTTCCAGTCTAAACTTTCCTTTTGAACGTATTTAAAAAAATTTTTTTTCAGTATAGAAAATTGAATGTATACTGAGATATTTTCCTCCAGTTTTCAATTACAAGGGGCTTAAAGATTAATCAGTTTATCTTGATAAATTATATTCTATATATGACAAGGAAAATTTCTTTTAAGGAGAGGATGGACTTCGGTGTGTTTGGTTTTTAAATATGTGAACTTGCTGGATTTCCAGGGCCGAGGCTAAGATATTTTAACTTTTTCCATTTTCACTGATTCATCTGTTGGTACTATTTTGATATATCATCAGTTGATATCGAGTTGTCTGAAGAAGTCTTCATTATTTAATCTTAATAGACCAAACCTTTTCAATAATACAAAATCATGATTCTTCTGCTTATGAGTGGTTGATATCCACAAATTGAAAATGCCTATTCTTCATTTTTCCTCAATTTTTCTTTTTTGTTTTTGTAATAAAAAATCTGGGTGGTTTTCTTAAAACAAAATTTCTTTTGATAGGAGTGGTTGTTAAACAGAATGCCTTTATATCTTCAGCCCTGTTGCCCCTAACAACGAGCAAAATTGTAAGTTTTCAGATGGATTCTTCTATAAAATAAAAATATGTTCTTTTTTTTGGAAAAAAATGAAATGAATTCTAAAAAATTATGGTTGGGGTAGCATTTGTAACTGAGGCTTTTGGTTTTTATTAGTTTCTGGTTTGTGCACATTTATCTCAAGGGCATAGTCGTTTATGGCATAAGTTATTGAATAAATGAATCAAATTCACTTTAGTGCTTGCTTGATTTTTATCAGGATTTTGACTCTAATGTGTGTTAAGTGATATTTATTCTTTCTACATCCTGCCCCAGTCCAGGATGTGTGGCAGTGGGAAAAGACAAATGCAGCAGATGCCAACTAGGAAGCTCTAGGGGCACATGTAGCCTTTGGCTGAAATTCTGTTTATCTGTATGCTCTGATGGAGCAGAGGAGAAAAAAAGAACAAAGGTCTTTGTTTAAGATAATTCATTATAGATGGGAATGAAAAAAAGGCTTCTTGTAAGCTCTTTTCAAATCTGCTTGGGACATACACTGCCCCTATCCACATCCTGCTCTTCCCTTGCCCACCTCCTACTAGGCTCATCTCTGCACCCAGGTCACTGAACGCCCTTTCTGTTCCTCTCTTCCGGGCAAAAGCTAGTTTATCAAGTTTTGACTCCAAGATCATCCTTGCCCTTTGAGCCTTCTCTGACTCTCTCTCCCACATGGGTCTCTTCTTGTCTTGACCATCCTTCTAAATGAAGTGTTGATGGGCTGGGAGGCAGCTGATGCTGTAAATTAAAAAAGACACTGGGAGTTTAAGAGCGAAGTTGGAAGACCTGAATATGCATGTTTGATTTACAAGCTCCATGTCCCAGGCAAGTCGCTTATCTTCTCTGAGACTCATTCCTTCATCTATAAAGCCTGTTCATAGGGCAATCGTAAGGTGCTTTGTACATGTTGATGATGTTGCTATTTGATTACAGTGTTAAACTTTAACAGGTTTTGCATATAAAATGTATATTTTTAATTTTATAAGAAATTTGATATTTGCCTTGAAGACATGTTCAGTGAAATAGCCAGACACACAAGGACAACTATTGTATGATTTTATTTATTTGAGATACCTAAACTAGTCAACTTCATAGAGCTAGAAGGTAGAATGGTGATTACCAGGGGCTGAGGGAGAGGGAAGAATGGGGAGTTTATTGCTGAGTGGGTTCTGGAGATTGTTAGTAGTGATGCTTGCACAATACTGAATGTACTTAATGCACTGAGTTGTACACTTAAAAGTAGTTAAAATGGTAAATTTTGTGTTATGCGTATTTTTACCACCATTAAACAAATCAAAAATAATTGATGTTCATAGCAACACTATTCACAACAGCCAATGATGGAAGCAGATCATACATCCATCAAGAGAGGAATGGATAAACAAATTGTGGTTCCTACATATAGGGGTGTATTATTCAGCCATAAAAAGGAATGAAGTACTGGTACAAGCTATAATGTGGATGAACCTTCAAAATATTATGCTAAGTGAAAGAAGTCAGACATAAAAGGTCACATATTATGATTCCATTTATATGAAATATCCAAAATAGGTAAATCCATAGATATAAGCAGAGTGGTGGTTTCCAGGGCCTTGGGGTGTAGGCAGCTGAGACTAGGAAGTAGTTGTATAATGGGTAATATTGTACTTTGTGGTGATGACAATATGCTGGAGGTGGAGATAGGTAGTAGTGGTACAAAATTGTGAATGTAAGGAATGCTACTGAATTGCCACTGCAAAAATGGTTATATTATGTAAATTTTGTCTCAATAAAACAAATATTGGTCTTAATTAGTGCTCTTGGATTATACCTTTGGGTGGAAAGATCTGGGGATTTTGCTGACTCTAAACTTGGTATCAGCTTAATTTCTTATTTTGTTATCAAACTAGCTAATGTGATTTTGTATTGTGCCTGGTCGTGTACCTCTGGCGTAGGGGAGAGAAAGTTCCTAAAGTTTGTGGAGCATACCTCTAGAAGTATGCCTTCTTCGCATAGTATCTTATTCACGTGTAAAAGAAATTGTATTGTATTCTGGGTTTCCTGTAAGGATCTAAACAAATTTTTTGGTTTCTAATCAGACACCAATATATGGTTATCAAACTCTTGGGATAAGAATTTCCTGACTCCAGTAAATGCTGAGTAAGATCCTGCCAAATTGACCCTTCTCCAGAAAACTAGTGTAAACTTCAAAAAAGCAGCTGCTTGAAAACCCCAGAGAGTGACCAGAAGTAGGAAGATTCTGGTGAGGAGTCTATACTCAGAGGAGGCAATTGTTTGGAATTCTCTGTTTTCATGTTTTCAGCTTCAGGGCAGCTGTAAGCAAGTGCGTGTGGGTGGTGCTGGGTGGTAGGAAAATGACAGTGTCTCTGGCGTAGAAACCAGAGGACTGATGGCCCGGCCAACTGCAGCTGTCAGGGAGAGGGGGAGGGGAAGTGGTCCTGGAAAGGAAAACACTAGAAAGGGGATCCCAATTCCTGTGTGCCTGGTTGACCCCCAAATGTGTTCACATGCATGGAGCAGACCAAACCAAAAAGCTGACCTGAGATTGGAGCAGCAACACAAGAAATGGAGTCTGCAGTTTCATCCAATTAGTTGCCTGCTAAAAAAGAGAAAAATAAGAAAATCTAGTACTTTTATAACCTAATATTTTGTGATGTACAGATGACAGTCCAAAATTACTAATATGAGAAGAAACAGACAATTCTGATCCATTCTGCAAAGCAGGCGTTGGCTAACTTTTTCACTAAAGGGCTCGATAGGAAATATATTATTAGCCTTTATGGGGCATGTGTGGCCTCTGTAGCATAATCTTTTTTTTTTTTAATACAACCCTTTGAAAATGTGAGAAACCATTCTTAGCTTGTGCGCTGTACAAAAACAGGCTGTTAGATATATTTAGCCTTTGGGCCACAGCTTGTGAACCCTGCTCTAAAGAAAGAATAATCAATGAAGACCAACCCTCGAGATTTCTTAGATAACTAGATTCAGGAGATAAGACTTTAAAGCATCTATTATAACTATTCTTAATGATGTAAAAAAAATATGCTTACTGTAAATAAAAAACTGCATAGAAATAGAAATAATACAATAGGACCATATAGAATTGGAAAGCTGAAAAAATAAAGTATTTGAAAAATTCACTGGGTAGAATTAATATTAGAATGGAGACGACAGAGAAAAGAGCTAATTTACTTGAAGACAGATTAATAGAAATTACCGGTTTGAAGAAAATAAAAAAAATATATTTGGAAAAGAATTAAGCAGAGCCTCAGGGACCTGTTAAATGATAAAATCTTTTGGAATTATCTCAGAAGCAGAAGAAAATCTCTGGATATAATGAGTAGAAAACCCCCTTATTTGATAGAATTTGATAACTTTACTGATTTATGATGCAGGAAAACATCTCAAGTAGGAAAGTATAGACAGTCATGCTTATGCGAATCCTAGTCATACTCTTGAAAGCGAAAAATACAGAGCAACTCTTGAAAGAAGAAACAGAAAAATGAAACATTATATACAGGGGAATGATTTCATTAACATCTGACTTGTCATAGGCATCTGTGGAGGCTAGAGAGAATGGAATAACATCTATAAAGTACTGAAAGAGAAAGAAAAGTCAACAAGGATTTTGTACAAAGAAAAAATACCCTTTAAGAATAAAGGCAAATATAAAGACAGTTTTGGGTGAAAGACATCTAAGAGAGTTTGTTGCTAGCACATACGCTCTGCAGGAAATGCAAAAGGAAGTTCTTCAGGTTGAAGAAAAGTGACAGTGAATGGGAACACAGATCCTCAAAGGAATGAAGAACACTCAAAATGGGACGTACTTGGTCAATATAAAACTGTTTTTTCAAAATTTCCTACTTAAATTCTTAATAATAAATGTTCATTTAAAGCAAAAAAGTACATTTTTCGTGGGGTTTATATTGTATGCAGATGTAATACATATAACAAGTTAGTGTTAAGGATGGGAAGGGATAATGGACCTGCATAGTTGCAAGATGTCTGCATCTTATATAAAGTTATACAATGTTAGTTCTAAGCGAAAAGTTTTAAGTTCTAATGTGAAAATTAAAGATATATATTGTAACTCCTAGAGAAAAAAAGCAATATATATATAGAAATAGAAAATAGAAAAATTAACATGGAATTCTAAAATTACTTAAATAATTTAATTAAAAAGACAAGAAAATAAAAACAAAGGAACAAAAAAATGGGAGGGCCAAATAGAGAACAAATAATAAAATGATGGGCTAAAATTCAACCATATTAACAAATACATTAAATATTAGTGTAGTAAATACTCCAATTAAAAGTCAGAGAATGTCAGTTAAAAAAGTGAAATCCATGATGTGATTTAAATATAAAGAAGCAGATTAATCAAAAACAGACTCATAAATATACTGGACAATTTGGTTACGGACAGAGGGAAGGGGTTTTGGGAGGATGAGAAAATGGGGTCAAAGGTTAAAGAAGTACAAATTAGTAGTTGATAGTTGGTCACAGGGGGTATGGGGAGCAAGGCAGAGGGAATGCAGTTAGCATTAATACATTGGCTAGGTGGAGGGTCAGGGGAGGGAGGGAGTAATTGAGGGGATGGTTTTATGAATTATATAGATGTCTAACCAATGTGCTGAATACTTGAAGTGAATTAAAAAGCAAACAAACAAACAAACAAAAATGAAACAGTAAACCCCGCCCCCCAAATAAAAAAAAGAAGCAGACAGTTTGAAAGTAAATGAATGGAAGAAGGTCCACTATGAAACAGTAAGCATGAGGAAGCTGAAATGTCTGTATCTATACTAGATAAATTCATTTCCAGGTAAAGAGTATTATCAGTAAAGAGAGACCTATTTAATGATTAAAGCTTAAAATATCAGGAATACATTGTAGTCATAAATATATATATATATATGCCTAATAACAGACTTCAAACCACATGAAGAAAACGTTGACAGAATTAAAGTGAGGGAGCCATTCATGATAAAAACACTCAACAAATGTGGAATAGAAGGGCATTTCCTCAACCTGATAAAGGCATCTAGGAAAAACTTACAGCTAATATCATACTTAAGGGTGAATGACTGAACATTTTCTGCTTAAGATGAGGATGTGTGTTCTCACCACTTTGCATCAACATTGCATTGGAGTTTCGGCAGGGGCAGTTCGGCAAGAAATAGAAATAAAAGACATCCAGATTGTAAAGGAAGAAGAAAAACTCACATTTCATAGGTGACATAATCTTATATAGAGAAAATCCTAAGGAATCCAGTAAACAACTGCTGGAGGTAATAAACGAGTTCAGCAAGGTTGCAGGATATAAAAATCAATTGCACTTCCAAACACTAGCGGTGCAAAATCTAAAAGTAAAATTAGGATAACAATTCCATTCACACAATAGCATCAAGGGTAATAAAATAGGAATAGATTTAAACAAGGAAATGCAAGACTTGTACTCTGAAAACTATAAAACACTGTTGAAAGAAACTAAAGAAAATCTAACAAAATGGGAAGACATCTTATGTTAAAACATTTATGGGTTTACATCAAATTTGCATAGTGGCTAACTGAGAACTTTCAATGGCCAAAGCTGGCACAATTCGAGCAACAGACTGTGTTGGGTAAACTCAAGTGTAAACATCCATAGTGATTTAAATTAATGATTAAATAAACAAATGGAGAATTGACAAATTTGAAATAATTTATGTAGATACTGTGTATATGGGAGTTATGCACAATGACTTCCTTCCAAAGCATGCAGTATAGAAAAAAGGAAAAAAGAATAATTTTACAGTGGAACAGCCTAACAAGCACTACGTCAGTTGGGTGATCAAGGTCAATATCAACAGTGATAAATCATGTTGAAACTATGTTCCCTTGATATGATGTGATGAAAATGGCACTTTATCTCTGTGGTTTTCCTCTCCCAAACCACACGATCCTAGTCTAATCTTGAGAGACATATCAGACAATTTGCAAGAGAGAGACATTCTGCAAAATACCTGATGAGTAATTTCAAAACTGTCAAGGTTATCAATAATGAGGAAAGTCGGAAAAGCAGTGACAGTCAAGAGGAGCCTAAGGACACATGACAACTAAAAGTAGTGTGGATCTCTGCTTAGGATCTTTAGGAACAGAAAAAAGACATTAGCTGAAAACTAAGGAAATCGGAATAAACTATGAGTCTTTAGTTAGTAATCATATATCACTATTGGTACATTAATTATAACAAATGTACCAAACTAATGTAAGATGTTAATAATAGAGGAAATTAGGTGTTGGGTGTATGGAAACTTTATATTATCTTCTCAATTTTTCTGTTAATCTAAAACTTCTTAAAAATAATGTTTAATTTGGTTAGCTGTGGATATAATGACCCTTGGAAGCGTGTGTTTCCTTATTTTGGGGAGAGGGTGAGATCTATGTATAAAAGGTAGGTGCATCTTATTAGATAGAAACAGAGTTGTTTTTTAGTTGCTTGAACTTTCAACTATATGTAGAAGGATAAATACGGAGCTGAGTAGAAAAACGGGTGGATTGTGCATTTTAATGCTTCCTCTTTATCTTTTTATTTAATGCTTCATCTTCAAATCTACCCCTCTTTGCCCTTCTTTGTGATCCTGACCCTGTAAATATCTCTCCTTTGCCAGGTGATGCAGTGTTAAGCTTTCTCAATAAAGGGTGCTGGCGGAGTGCTGCAAGCCACCTCACTATTATTTTCTGGCTTTTCTTCTTTTTTATTGAGCACAGGAGTCAGTGGGTTGGTGCGTGGGTGGTCCAGTCTCACCTCAGCAGCCCTAACTGACTAGCTGCAGCTTTGCACTCAGGCTTCTCCCTGTCCACCTGGTAGCCAATTCCACAGCAGCTTCAGCCTCATCCTCAGGCAATAGATTAGGTGTAGCCTCCCACACTTTCTGGCCATGGTGGGCCACTTCTACACATCAGCCCTGCCCAATGCCCTCTGTCAAAGGGGCTAGATGATCTGCCAGCTAGATTCTGGCTCATGCCTGAGGCCATCTGGTGTTTACACAGCCTCCCCTTGCAGACTATAACTTTTCCATTCTGAACCATTCATTCATTCATTCATTCATGCATTCATTCATCTATTGATCACTTAGTTGGTGCCAGACAGTGTCCTAAGAAACATTCGTGTACAAAAAACAAAACCAAAAACCATCGCATTAATCACAAGGATGGCAGAGGTGTAAAAGAATGTGCAGTTTTTTCTGACAATCAGTGGCATGAAAGGGAAGGAATGGAGCCCTTAGACCTGGGATTGGCTTATTCGTGTGAAAATGTCTCTGAAATTGAATATCCAGATTTCCCAGAACATTCCAGGCCAGCAGAGAAGCTCTTTCCTCTAGGAGAACAACTGCCCCTTGCAAACAACTCATCTGAAGCTGATGCTTTGCAAGGTAATGCTTGTCCTCATCAGGATCTGCTTCTTTTTACCTCATTGCCTCCATGCCAGTAACTGAGGTAAGAAATTATAGCTTTGCCAGGGAAATTTAGTTTCTGCCCTGAAAGGCTTGTAGGACCTGAGTAGTATGCACTGGCTTGATCCAAGGGAAGATGTGTGGGAGTGGACTTTGAGGGTGTTGGGTGGAGGGCAAGATGGTAGGTAGAGTAGGAGAGAATTGGCATCAGGATATTTTCCTTCAACTCAGGATTTAACATCCTGGCAAGAATACTTAGGAATGACATGCTGTACACAATCTTATTAACTTTGAACATTGGGATTCTAACCATTTACCAGAATTGGCCAAACATTGGATAAGATTTGTGTTTTTTGAGACTATGGAAAGTCCTCTATCCAACGACCTTATGTTATAATCAGTCCTTGAACAATGGGATTCACAATGAAATGAATGAAAGAATATTTCAAGAAGAATGAACATGCCAGTTATCATCTGTAAGGTCATGTACACTATCAAGATAATTCAATCCAGTCCTAAAATATAAAGGCAATTACTGCATGAAACTTTCAGATGTATGCAAAAAGTCTGAAATTTCTACTAAATCAATTGAATTGATCTTTAGTAAGAGGATGTAGTTGTCTAAGCCTGTTGAAATGGGCTGGCGTGTTTACTTGTCAGATTTGAAGTTGCATGTTTCTGTGATGAGTTGTAATGGCTTCCTATGATCTCTCATTTGTATTAGCAAAATTACAACGTCAGTTAATAGAATATAGTCAGGATATTTTAAATAACTTTATTCTTAAATGTAACAAGCTCTCATTAGAAATGCTCTGAGATCAATACAATAAAATATGCTGATCTCCCCCACCCCCCTTCACTAAATCGTGTCAAGTAACTGGAAAAGTTAAGCGTTTGTTCTCCTTAGCTTTTTTGGAAGTTTTTTTTACAAATAATGGCTATTGCTTATTCATATGACTTAATATGGTTATAATTATAGTATTTTGGATCTCAAAAAAAAAAAAAAAAAAAGAAAAAAAAAAAAAAAAGAAAAGAAACAAATATCCAGAAGAGAAAGTTGCAAACATTTCTTAGTTTCTTCTCCAAAGGATGTTTATGTAGGTGGTACACCTCTTAGATAACTTTTTTCCCCAGCTTTGCCATTCTCATCCTTAAAGCTGCAAATTAAAGAAAGAAACAGAGAGTTATAAAAAAGACTTAATTTTCACTCTAAATGACCATTTCATAGAATGCAGGAAAGTTGAGACATACCTCAGACGATTTTATCCAACAATGTGAGCATTGTTTTAGTAGCACAAAAAGATAGTAGAAATAATAAGCTATGGTTAACTTAGGGCAGAAGCAGGTTCAGAGCTAGAAGGAACCTATTGCTATAAAGATTAGAAAAATTAGTAGAGCAAATACAGCATAAGTTGAGTAAATATAGGATTAGTACACAATTTCAATTTTAGCCATAGATAAATTCCCTATACACAATAACTGTGTTTTGTGCATATTTTTGAGCTGTGCACTACTGGAAAAAAAAAAGCATTGACACAGACTCTAATTCATGGTTAGGTTAACTCATCAAAGTTGGTTATACCAAGGGGCTCTATCCTTGGATATAGAATGATAAAAACAAATTTTTTTTGTAATGAAACAATATGAACCAGTAATTAAGAGTAGGAGTAACTGTAAAATGTCTGTCAATATACAAATACTTTTTAAATTGAAAACATCTTATTTTGAGCATATTCCACTGCTAACGATATACTGGATTTAGAAACCATTTTTAAAAATGTAGATTTAGAATTTATAACATTCTCTGATATTCTGGTATCATGCCCTTAATGTTTAGGACTTCAGAGTATAGCTACCTCAGTTATATTCCAAAAGTTGAGAGATGCTTTCAAGTCACTGATCATTACATTCATGTGTAATATAGCTCAAGAACTAGCTATTTAACTGATTGTAAAATTTTATTGAATGAAAAAAAAAAGGAAGACATATTCTCTCATTTCTCAGCCATATGTTGTCTATTAACCAATAAAAAGACCGTATCTCTAAGAAGCTCTTGTTCACAAATATGAGAAGGGATGGGAATCCGATACTGTAATAAAACCACAATCATTTTTATGGTCATTCTACTTATATGAAATGTTTTCATTTAAATGAATCCAAAGAGAATTATTTACTTTGGAACCTTAAGGAGAATGACCATATCTAGTGGTCTAGGATCAAGAATAGTCTTTGAATTTAGGACCAGCTGAGAGATTTTTTTTTTTTTCTTTGTAGCCAGGAGGATGGTCTCTATTGCTGGGAGATGTTGGATGGTAAAACCCGAGGAGAAGATTTACTTCCACAGGAGGTGAACTAAAGGCAGATAGCAAGACTTTATTGTTTTACTTTTAGATTTTGTGGACCTCTTTTTTGCCCATTCCTAAAAAGAGAGCAGGGCAAAGTCCTCCCTATAACTACTTTTCAACTTAAGATTCAGTAAAGCAGGCACATCCCATGTGCTGTGGACATTCAATGACTCCTTAAAGGCTATCCTGGATGTGTGCATCTTCAGGAGTGAGGTAATCCAGTAACTCACTGTCTCATTTCTTAAAGGGGAACAAAGAGTTCTGTATTGTTAGAGTCTGCTATTCCTTTCTTTAGTCTTACGGCAAATAGATGATGTGAATGTCAAGTAGATGTGTGGGGCTAGAGCATGTCAGCAATGGGAACGTCCTTAGGTGTAGCAGTTAATAAACCTGGGCAACCAGCTCTCCTTTTTACTTCTCCTTTCTGCTCTTCCCTGACCTCTATCTCCTCTCCCCATAGCAATACAGACTCATGGTTTTGGCTGGTTGAACTGGGTAGAAGAAAGCTTGTCTCCTTCATCTTACTATCCCTTGGCTCCTAACGGTTGCCACAGGTTGACAATTTTGGCACCAAAAGCATGTGATTCCCCCAGAGCTGAGATTCTCCACCTCTTCATCCTGAAATGCCACTGACATCTCTCAGAGGGGAGAACGGAGCTAGAAGTACAAGAATAGGTTGGTGAGGACTGGCATTGAAGTGTCTGGCATTGAGTTATATATTAGAACATGACCCTCATATTTACATTGGCTGATGAACATAACTTTGCATAAATTTTCTCGTCACGTCAACCCTGTTCAAATTTTCGACAAAATATCTCATCTTTAGGATCTCCAACCTCCACCTTCCCCCATCTTGCTTCCTCCTTCATGCGCTTTTCCAAGTTAAAATTTGCTCTTAAATAAGGCTTTGATAACAACGTTTACACTAAGAGAAAAGAGATTGATAATTTTTAACTATCATACTTACCAGAAATATTTATATTTAGTAGGGGACCTATCCTATCAAAAAAGGAGTTGACTGAAGTGGTGGATTTTCAAGTATCATCAATAAGCATTTTAGGGGATTGAGGCAGAAGCTCAACCTACTTGGTGCTTGTGAAATCGAGGTGCATAAGTGGCTATATAGTCTATGTATATGGATGTTCCCTGAGGGCATATGTCAAGATGATATATTTATTTAAAAAACTCATTTAAAAACATACCAGCTCTGTAATTCATGAACTGAATTGGAAAACAGCAATGTAAAACAGTACCATAATGGAAGGCAAGGAATTTGGAGCATTCTGTTTATAAGATGCTTTGACTGATAGCACAGAACTTTGTATTGTTACTTTGTCTGGAAGACGTCTTCCTGTTTTCATTATTTTGGTTCAATGACATGGTTAGTGTTGTCTAGAAACATTAGTCACTTCCTGTCTTTTTCTATGAAGTAAATGTGTTGACATGGGTAGGGAGAAGGAATGAGGGTGTTCAGGAGAAGCTGGCTAACATCCAAGTTCTAAAATGGGAGGTTTTATGGTGGGTCATATCACTCGCTGCTCTTGATCATAAACTGTGTTCCTCTTTTTTTAAGTCTTCTGAGTTGTTTTAAAAATGAATTTAAGATGCAAGGTGTGGTCAGCAGACAAAGCTCATTCTCAAAACCAAAAGGAACTTTCAGTTTCAACAGATTTCCATTGTGGATGACACACCATTTGACTCTGATTTATAGGAAGATAATATAAGTGTACAGTTACCAAGAGATTAGAAAGTCTTCAGATAATTAAACTTAAAAACGGTAAGCTGAATTTAACTACTTAAAAGACTGGAAGAGATCCATTTTATTGTATTGTTGGCAAACCAAGACTGGTTTTATTGCTCGCAGAGGAAGAAACTTTCCTGAAGTGTGCAGGTACTACCACAGTCCCATAGAATTATCAAGTTCTAGTCTACGGCCATGCCACCCTGAACAAGCCCGATCCCGTCTCATCTCGGAAGCTAAGCAGAGTTGGGCCAGGTCAGTACTTGGATAGCAGACCACCTAGGACGACCAGGTGCTGTAGGCATAAATAATAAAAAACAAGGGATTGTAAGCTGACAAGGTCCTTGCAAACTGTGAGGTCAACCAAGGGTTGCCTCGCCTAAAAAAAAAGAATTATCAAGTTCTGCTTCCTGGATTAGCTAGGATTTAATACTTATTGCTTTTTAATAAGAATTTTTCTATTAGAGACATTGAAAATTACTATCCCTTTCATACATCCAGTATCTGTATGTCTGGTTAATTTGAGTATCTCTTTAGCCAAGGTAAGTACAGCTATTATAATCAATTTTGTCAGATTCTTATTTATTCTTTATAAATGATGAGTACAATACAATATTCAAGTGATAACAAGAAATCTAAAATTGATAAACTATCACTTTTGTAGCAAAAAGTGTTATTTTCCATCCAATGCTATGAAAGATAGATAGCTATAAAACTTCATAGAGAATGAGAAATGTAAATAGGTAGAAAATAGAAAAAATAAATTTCCTAAGTTAGGAAAGACTATGCAAAACTAAATCTTATAGATAATGTAAGATAAACTAACATTCAATTTTAAAATAAAGAAAAATTAAGGAAATAAAGTTGATAAAACTATAAAAGTATAGAGAAACATAGCAAAGTAATAAAATAGCGCACTGAAAATAAAATTTGTTTCTTTTTTCTTGCAAAATTAAGGCAATTTGTTAACTTATGTAGGAAGTTTTAAATCACAGAGAGGCACAAAAATTCAGATTCTGGAGGAAAAAGATATGATATTAATGACCCAACTTATTAGTGATCCAAATATATTCACACATGATGTTATACCATGACAGAAGACAAATTTCAAGTTATTAGAGTCAATTGATAACAGTATCTAAACATGGCAACAATTTTTTTCATTTCTTTATCTTTTGAATGGACTGAATTGCTTCACTTATGGTAATAAAAATATCAGCTTTAGTAAAAAATCTTAGTGTGTATTAGTCTATGAGGTGGTCAGAAAAGCTGAAAGCAAGAGGGTTTGTTAACAACACAGAGATTTTCACATGACTAAACAGCAGTGGCAAGCCTTGTCATTTTTATTACCTGTTAGGGATGGATCCTCAGTTCCATCTCCAGCTGTCTGAACACCCAGTGGAGAAGGGCGGACAGGGCTGCCTAAGCTTTCTTCTTGCTCTTTCAGGGATATGGAATTTTTGTGGGGAGATTGATGGCTTGCGTTTTCACGGGGATTAACTTCTGATCTCTTTCTAGGAAGTGGTGTTGGTTTAGTAGGCTGGTAAACCTGACTGTGGGGAGCTGTGGGATGGTAGGATGGTTTCTCAGTTTCTCCTTCACCCTCCTCCTCATCGTCAATCACAACCAGCTCAGCGTGGATGATCCCGTCATACCCCGTCAGAAGCTTCTTTTCTTCTTCATCGTCTTCTGCCTGCTGATACCCCATGAAAATCATCGTCACGGGTTCTCTATCATTCATGTCAGAGGGCAGGGAATGAACGATATTATATCTCACATCTTCCTCGTCCTCCTGGCAAGTGGGAGCAGAACCCTGGCATTCTGACTTGCCAACGAGTGCTTTGCTGGGACTGAGTCTCGCCTTTGACGGGGGTGCATTCTTGTCTTGCATTATGTTCGACTCTTCCCAAGGAGTCACCAGCCTCTTTTGTAGGGTGCAGGGCATCTCCTCTGCTTGCTGAGTCATGGATCGGGGATGGGGTATTGGTCGAACAGGACTGACATGATTGAAGCTGTTGCTCCTCTCCTCTGTAAGTCCATTGTCCATATGGTATATGGGTTCACTCATGTCATTACTCAGTCCATTAGCTTTCATCTTTATCCTTTCTTGAAAGTTTGGTCCAGGGGTCACCTTCTCTCTCTGTGGAGTTGTAGGCCTGCAAAATGGATTGGCATATACAGGCTCATGATACTCTGTTGGGGATTTAGAGTTTCTCTCCGAAGCTTGTCTTAAAAGTTCCTCTACCTCAACTGGGGCCAGGCCATCGGTACCATTGAACGGTGGGCTGTGATTATTGCTTACTGCGTATACTGACTTTTGCCCGTCATCATAAACTTTTATTCCTGTACCTTTAAAGTCATCTGATGGGAGAGGTATTGAAGACAGGACTGTACTTTCTCCAGTCTTCAAGTCTTTTTTAACTTTAATTTCCATGGCATACAAAGCTGTTGAGAGACAAATTTGATCTTTGATTTAGTTAATTTTTTCACTTACAAACTCATCTGCTTTCACAGTGTTTATTTTTATATCAAGTATACCCTTTGATTGTTTTATGGGATGTGTACATTTTTAAAATTTCTGATTTTATTTAATTACATAATGACTAATACTGTAATTACATGTTTTTTTATGTAAAGATGTATGAAATTAGTGAAAAAATGGGAAGAATTGGAGAAGGAAAGCTGATTGGAGAAGAGAAGCTGATAGTTTCAAATAGTAAGGATTTTTAATGGGGACCCAAAAGATATCTCCTTCCTAATTAATAGATCCAACAATTTATACTCTTTTACATTACTCAATGGGAGGAATCAGATCTTTTTTTTTTTTTTTTTTTAGTTAGGAAGAATATATTGCACTATGCATGACCATAGGTAAAAGTCTAGCACAGTACATATATTTTTTTAAGTTACATCCTTGCTGTATAGACCAGCAGCCTGTTGAACTTATAGCGGGTGGTTCTAAAGTTTTCACATTAGGGAGGTCCTTTCAATGCAGAGCTGGCATTAAAGAGGGAGGGAGAAGGCTAGAATCACACGCTTCTCCTTTTGCCTTATGTTTCTTTTCATTTTCACTCCCATTTTCAAATAGAGCAAGGGCTAAAAATAGAGCGCTATCACTATCAGCTGTCCTGAAACAACTGGGCTGGAGAGAACTGGTCGATTTGGGGGAAGCTGGGATCTGCTTCATGGTCCAGGCGAGATCCTTATGGCTGGAATTTTAACTGGCGTAGTAAAGGCAATAGGACTCGGGCGGAGCAATGTGGCAATGCTTGCGTTTGTTGTTCTCTCACCTTCCTTTTGAACCCATCTTGCATTTCCGATCTTTGCTTGATGGTTCTTGGCATTGGCTACCCAAATCAAATTGCAGTGCCTCGTCCACACTCTCCCTATCCCCTTTCTCTGTTTTACTCTTCTCTTTAGCATTTTCACTCCTTAACATGAAATATTTTATTGATTTACCTAATTTTTTGTCTATTTTCTCCCTTAGAATGTCAGCTCCATGAGGGCAGAGGTCTTTGCTGTTTTATTCACTACCGTATTCTTAGTACAAGAACTGAGCTTGGCAATATAGTACATGTTCACTACACAGTTATGAATGAATAGCTACTATCTGCATGTAGAGTGTAGCTTCCCTTTCTAGTCTAAAATGCAAAGGTTTTTGCTCTGCTCTCACATTAGCCTTCATTTTTCTAGAGGCTTTGGAGTATTAACTCCAAAATCATTCCCACACGGAGGATAAATAATTCCTAGCCTTCCCAAGGAGAATATTTTTATTTTCATAAAGGATCTTAGTAATCCAAGAGAGAGTTTACTAGATGGAATATGTTGGAAGTGATATTTTTGAGCAGGGGAGCTTTGCTTTTAAGAGCTTCTTGTCTCCTTTAGGACTTTATCTCTTCTTCCTATCTAGTGGGCTGGGGAATAAAATACATGGAATCAACACTGTAACCCGGTTATCCCTATCTATGCAGATGACTCATATTCTTCACAGAACTTTGTAAAATAAGCCATTGCTTAACCTGGAAGCACATGATGTCATAGCAAGTTGCTAACAACTGACATTGTAAAATCTGAATTTGAGAAACTGCCTTTGGAGGCAGATTTCTCATATACCTTTTCTATTTTGTTCATCATCTTCTATTCCATCATTTCTTTCCTTCCTTAATCTGGAAGGTATGTAGGATTTTGGAAGGTCAGGGATATTAGCATAGATGTCTTCAATTGACTCTGTAAAATTAATATTAATTCAAAATACATTTAGAATATGTTTACAATAATGTAAAAAATTTCAATGGGCTTATCAAAAAAAAAATATCGTAATTAGACATAGACTAGACTGCTCAAAAACATACCTCTTGATGTTTCTTCCTTTTCCACCTTCACAGACTATAAGAAAAAAGAATTCTTCATGATTAACACAGTTAAAAAAATGAATTCTAAATGTGGATATACTTTGAAAAATTATTTGTGACTCACTTTGAGAAAAAATCATAGTTTTAAAATTACTTAATGCTCACCCTTATTATGTCCTCTGTTGTTCTCTCAATTGATTTTAGTTTCTTTAAAATTGCTTCTTCATTAGTTGAGATTTTCAGTTCAGCCTTTTCAAGATCTTGAATCTCTTTTTCAAGTCTGACAACAAAAAGATACACTTTTTATTGCTTAAGACATTACAAATGTAGAGTTCTCAAATATATCTATCTTCTCCATATATAAACTTTCCTTGGAACATTGCATGTAAATGTTCAGTTACCTTAAGAATGTAGTATTACAGCAAACATCACATTTAGTACATAGAAAGCATCTAATACTTGACTTTATTTAACAATTTTCAATTTGTTTTTAATTATTATTATTTTTTTGACAAAAGGAATTCTTAGGTAAAGTATTTGACACTTGCCCCATTTTCTTCATTGCAGTTACTAATGTTACTTCCAAATGAAACAGAGAAATTTCTTTTATAGAGACTTAAGTTCATAGTTGAACCAAAAGGAATGGCATATCTACAGTTATTACTTAGTTCACCAGTTTTCCTTACCCAAGTCTCCATGTATGTTATTTAGAGAAAGCAGAATTATTTTTTCTAGCCAATCAACACTTTATAATATTATAATTATTAAACTTGATTTAATAATCATAGTTATTTGACACTTAAAAACCCTGCATATCCTAACATCGAGAATGACACCTTGTTTTAATTTCACAGTTTCCTAAGAGTTGCGTGAAGAGACGAAAATTAGACAAAATATAGTACAGTGGCCTCAGGCGCTGCTGTTTATAAAGACTACATTTTCTATAAAAAAAGAAAGGTGACACATGGCCTGACAAAGTGTAAGGAAACTTGTAGGGACAAAAAGACAGACATTCGAAATTAGACCATTGCAAACATTCTAAGCTGGTATCTTGACCAGCATGTCAGATTCAAGTTAACGCCAGAGTATGACATTATGACCTCTATCCTGCATAAAAACATACAGTCACTGGCATCCATGCAGTTAGCAAGGCTGGCACTTGGCAGACTTGAAACACACGTAGTTTCTCAGCCAAATGCTCTAAGCTCTAAAGTCAGCTGTCTCAGAGGATGGCTGATTAGATACAGCAGCTAGTCCAGGAGATGACAGCTGTGGGTATCAGTGTCAGCTAAGATATTTGTCAGTTTTCTTGGCTTCTTTAAGATGGTCATGGATCTGGCAGCTCAAAAATCACCAATAAAAGCCCGAGGTCTGGTCTGCTTGACCACTCTCCTCCTCATGGCTTAAGTTTCAAAGTTCTGACTTTGCTGGTGCCTCTGGCCATGGGTAGTTGGCCATTTATAGCTGAGGAGGTTTTCTTGTACAGCATAGAACTTTAAGTAAAATGTAGTACCTCTGATTTCTTAGAAGTTACTGAGATGTGACGGCCATCCTGTTAAAATCCTTCCACATCCATGGTAGCACACCAGTGGAGTTTTGGGAACATATGTTGGTTGGTAGAGTGGAAGGCTCTATACTAAAGGTCATAAATCTGAGTTATTCTGTTTCTGCTACTCACTATTTGTGAGAGCTGATTTCTTTAACTTCCCTGATGCTCAGTTTTATAATTTGTATAATGAGAAAATTGTACCTCCCTTACTTTATACAGAAATTTGCTGAAGCTAAGAAGAGATGATATGTGACTGACATCAGATATAAATGTCATTATGGTATAAATATTAAAGATTTTCTGCTATACACTGTGTCTCTCTTTCCATGCTTTGTCCCACAGAGTCTTTTACTTGAAAGCATGTTAAACACAGTCTAATGGGGAGCCTTTGGGTGGAAAAACAGGGTGTTCAAATCTTTACGCAAACAGCTCCTGGACCTCAGGAGCCATCTGTGTATCTGGGTTTGAATCCTGGTTCATCTGCCAACTTCCAGTGTGACCCTGGACAAGTCACCAGACCTTGCTAAGCCTAATTGTCTTCATTTATTCTTTCATTTACAAGTATTTAGCATCTGTTTTGTATCAGGCAATATCCTATGTGCTGGGGATATGACAGTGAACAAAACAAAATCCTTGCCCTCAAGGTTTACATTCTAGTGGGAGGACACGGACGGCACACCAGACAGGGGCTGACAACCCTTTCTGTAAAGGGCCAAATAGTAAATATTTTAGGCTTTGCAGACCACATTCAGTTTCTGTTGCATATTCATCTTTTTAATTTTTCCTTTTACAATCCTTCAATAATATAAAAACAATTCTTAGCTTGTGGTTATTCAAAAATAGACTAAGGGTATATTTGGGCCTGGGCTGTAGTTTCCTAACTCCTACAAATGTGTGTATGTGTATGTACATATAAAATGTATATCTATATCTTATATATACATATTTACATATACACACGTATATATACACACAATAAGCAAATGTGTATGTGCCCATACATTTATTTATGAAGAAAAATATTTCCATAAAAAAGTAGAATAAGGGGTATAAATAGAAGAATAAGGGGGGCAGAGAGTGCTTGGGGGGCACTAACTTAACAGTTTGGTCAGGGAGAGTCTCTCTGATAAAGTGTTATTTGAGTGGAGACGTGATGGAAATGAGGCAGGGACTCAGAGTTTCTGGGGGATTGTGCTTCAGAGGAAGGAGTAACTAACTACAAAGCTTAAAGTAAGAGCAGGGGGCTCAGGAGGGGAGCGGTGGGAAGTGAAGTCAGAGATGGCTGGCAACCAGATCATACAGGGCCTTGTGCATAGGAAGGCCTTTGGGGAGCCATTGGGAGTTCTGAGAAGAGGAGAAACATTCTATGATTTGAAATTTAAACAGTTACATTGGTCGCTGTCTTGAGAATAGACTGGAGGGGCAAACATGGAGGTCAGCTGTTGTAATAGTCCAGACGAAGATAGCTTAATCCACGGTGGTTGCCATCAGAAGGGTGGGAAGTGATCGGATTCTCGGATTTCAGAGGAGCTGCCAGGATTTGTTGATGGATTACACGTGAGGTATGAGAGAAAGAGATGTCAAGAGTGATTACGACATTTGTGGCCAGAATAATTGGAAGAATGTGACTGCGACTAGCTGAACAGAAATCTGGGAGAGAGAAGAAAGGAGATTGATGGGGAAGTATTAAATTTGAGACAGTCAAGTGATGATATGTAGAAAACAGGTAGATATAAAAGTTGGAGCTCAGAGAAGTATGGGTTTGGGAGTTGGTATTTATAGACATAGGAGTGGATAAGTTTTCCTAGAAAGTCAGAGATTCCAAGGACTGAATCCTGGGCCAATTAAACATTTAGAGGTCTGGGCAATGTTAACTCTTTCAAAGGGTTTAATAAGGAATAAAAGAATTAGTGAGCACTCAGAAAATGCTAGTTTCTTTATGTCTCTGCCCTTTCTGTTCCTGGGGTACAGAGATAGAGCTCTTGGTTGGCCTGGCCAGTGACAGGGAATTAGGAAATGCACTGAGATTTGTAGTTGTTTTCCTCTGCAGAAAGGCCCATGGGTAATGGAATATCATATTATTCTCACAAATGTGTTTCGACTAATTGTGTATACACATATATATGTATATATACGCGTATATATACATATATATGTGTATATATATATATATATATATATATATATATATATATATATATATATATATATATATATATATATATATATATATATATATATATATATATATATATATATATATATATATATATATATATATACACACCCATACACACACACACACACACACGCATATGCATATATAGATGTAGATGTAAAACATTTTTGTTTTACATATATTTGTACATAGGTAAAACTTTTTTTTTACATGGAAAGTTTTTAGAGAGGTCCCTGGGGCATAACACTCTCACATGCACCTGCTTATATCAGCCGATGGATTAGAATTTCTGTAAGTGCTGCCATCCCTATCTTCAGAAGGTGTTACCTTTCAGAAGGGAATTGAGCCCCTAGAAATGCTGATTCAGTTTGGCGAAAAACAGGCAGTAGAGAAATGTCCTTCCTGGTGCCTCCTGGGTTGTTAGGCGGGGCCTGATGGATGAATTAGTACCTCTCGCAATTTCTGAGAGATGGTGGGCAGGCATCATGTGCCAATTTAGATAAGCAGAGTACATCAAAAAGGATTTGTAATGCTATCCATTATTGGAATCTTTCTTTTTCTTGCCTATTTGCTGGGGAGAAAGAGGATTATTTTCAAGAGTTCCGTAGGTGAAAGCAGGTGGCTTTCATTTCATTTCATGCACTGGTCTAGGAGTAACCTCCCTTAATCATCATGAGATAATGTCCCCAATTCAATTCCAACATGCAATTTTTTGTCTTAGAAAGAAAAGCTCATAAAGGCTGGATGTGCCAAGAAGGGGTTGTTTCAGAAGGCAATTTTTCAGCTGCTAAGGGCCATTTATTTCTTTCAGTTTTTGGTGGTGTTGACAAGGACTAACAACCTGATGGAGTTTGCCATTAGGGGCCAAACGAACTGGACTCAGGAGAAAAAGAAAATCAAAAGTTATGTCCTATTTGACAGCATTTCTCTTGTTAGCAATTATAACACTAACCATGTATTGAGCATTTACACTGTAGCAGGCACTGGCCTAATTAGTCCTCACAACAAGTCCCATGAGTATTGGTGATAGTTCCATTTGACAGATGAGCAAGCTGTGCACCTAGAAAGGCAGGTGGCCTGGAGGCTTGCAGGCCTGTGGCGTGAAATCGAGTCTCTGCCCCACCTAGAAAGGCAGGTGGCCTGGAGGCTTGCAGGCGTGAAATCGAGTCTCTGCCTATGGAGCCTGAGCTCTTAACTCCTTTCTAATTGGCCACTATGGAAACAAAAACTTTTAAAAATGGATTCTTATGAACTTAGACAAAACATTCTTTTTGCTCAGCAGAATAAAAGGATTTCTTACTTTCTATGATAAAAGAAAGTGGAGATTGAAATGCTAGCTGCATTCTACCCACATGCAAAAGTGTGGACTCATTACGTATAAAGGTAATATTTCTGTCCTGATCTTCGTTAGGGCAATTTTGTTAAACTGGGAATTTCTCTGCTTGGTGGACTAGTCAGTCTGACGAGGATTAAAGTCCCAGGTTTTGTCGGTTTTTTCTTTGGCTGCTTAGTGCGGTTCTTAGAACAGTTTCTTCCAAGAGCCTGGGGTTCC